AGTGCGTAAGCTTTGTAACAATTTAAACAAGATTACTTATTGTGATTTTGTTTAAATTAAGCTTATAACGTTATTAAAATAAGCTTATAACATTATTTATTATCATGAATAGTATCAGCATTATTTTGTTATGCATGAAAATGCATTAATGCAGCATTTTTAAATGAAATTTTGTCAAAAATTTTTTTAAACTTTAACCATTAAAATTAAAAGACTGTATGTTTTTATATAGAAATAAATTATAAATAAAAAATAAGAGGAAAAAATAAAATATACATAAATATAAAATTATTTCTTTCAAAATCTAAACTTACTTCTTGTAAGAGACAGAATTCTTATCTTAAAAGGAACACTGCATTAACGCACGCAAAAAGTGCAATTATATATTTTATGTATCTTTTATCGTATAAAAACTCGCACTATATTATAATATTATACAAATATGTATATGTTAAAATAAATTGAAAATTAAAGAAATATGTTAATATGTATTAAATAATAATATATATGTATTAAAATAATAATACATATTTACGTGTATAATAATTCTAAGTTTCCACATACGAATAGGAAATTAAAACAACGTGCTTGAGGGATTTTTGTGATTTTAAAATAAGTGTAAAAATATATATAGTTTCGCAAATTAATATAATTGAAAAAGAAAAAAAATGGAAAAAGAATATAATATCTTCACTTCATTCTTTCATTATTTTTAAATAAAAAATAAGAGATCTGTAACATTAGAAAGAATTGCACTTCCTGGATGCATATTTACATGCTAAAAATAATGTTTAAATTAATAATATTAAACATTTTGACTCAGTTAATTTATCTGTGCAAAATAAAAAGTACGATGACAGATTTTAGACATAGAAGAAAAAAATACTAAATTTTACCACATGTCAAAACGTGGACGTTCCGTTTTTATATTCAGATGCTCTGCATACCTATCTGTCACATTCAAGCACTTTGAACGTAGGTGTGGTTGTAGTAGGTGTAGGAGAATTGTGTTTGCTTACACGATGGTTCAATGATGTCTCTTGCACGTTGTCCAGATTTCCACATATCGCTCTTTTATGATTGGCCAATTTCTCTCTGTTCATGGGTGAGCCTAGAACCACCAGGGGCCATGACGCCAATCCGCATTACTCAAAAAATATACATTTAAAAAACACGATTCTTCTCAGAATGAAGAAGACTACGCGCAGATGTTAGCGAAGAGATTTGGCATAAAAATATCTGAATGCATTGTTACTTTCTATTGAATTTGAGCTGCTCGCAATAAATATGAAAATAGTTCAAGATTTCCCACTTGCAATAGGGATATGAAATAAAATCTTAATTAATATAACACTGGTGAATCTCTATATATAAATAAAAAAATTATTTTATTATTCTACTCTTCTGTTTCTTTCTCAAAGCACTAAAATGCTTCTAGAGATTCTTAAGATTGCGTTAATCATGCTTAAGACTATGCTATCAAGTGTATCCCGCAGTAAAATCTATTTGACGTAAAATATGTTTCATGCACAAAGCGTTAATAATGCATTTATGTGAATACATATTTTAATATAAAATAATTAAAAATTTAGAGAAACAATTATACATATACACAAAATATTTTTCAAAAGAGAAAAATTATAATCATTTTTGACCAAAATGTCAAAAACTGTTTGTTAGATCCCAATAAATACATATTTAAAAAAAAACATTTAAATTTTGCATATTTCAGATCAAATCTTTAAAAGTTATATGCTGCCCAAAATGAAGAAATTTGAAACAGTAAATGTTTTATATGCAGAAGATATAGAGAAAGCAAGAATTTATCCTTATTTTTAATATTTCAGACATAAAATTATATATATATATTTTTTTTTAATATAAAAAAATTTACCTACTTTTCATTCAACTTATTTTCAAAATTACATTTTCTCACCATATAGTTGGACAAGCATAAGATAAATATAAAATGTAGTATATGCTGATGCAGAATCAGAAAAGACTTGAATGTAACACAGATTTTTCTGGCATGCACATAGATGTATAAATAAAAAATTATGTACATAATAGTTATTATAATTATATATATATATATATATACATGACATCTTCTTACCTATATAACTTAGCAGTACTGGTAAAAAGATGAGACCGTGTGCTGCTCCAAATAGTACAATACCCAAATACATTCTGAAGTAAAATACCTGCAAATAGTCTTAGCTGATAATATAATTCTGAATATTTTTATACAATTAAAATACAGACAAATAGCAGAACTCCAATTATCTATTATTAATCATGATTAATAAATTTGTGATTAATAATGTAAGTAGATATTTATATCTAAATATTTTTTAATAATAAAAATATTTTAAAAGGAAATAATAGATAAAAAATTTTCTGATACACAGAAAAGATATACCAATATAACACTATTAAAGATAACAAAAATTAAAGTATGTTTTTGTATTTAAAAAATGGCAATCTTACGCAAGTTTAGTACTCTATATAATATACAATATACATATCTGTATATATGTATATTTATTGTATTGTGTGTGTGTGTGTGTGTGTGTGTGTGTGTGTGTGTGTGTGTGTGTGTGTACATACATACAATTTAATATTTTAAATTATTATTGCGATACTAAAAGTCGAGCATGTTTTTGATCTCTAATTGGCAATTTGGATTATTAGATAATTGTTTTATTCAGCAGTATATAGTAAAAAAAAAATCAACCTGGAAAATTTGACTCTTTGCAAAGCCCAATACTATAATGCCACCAAACTTTGTTAGCGTGATACCACTGAATACTGAACTCCCCATATTTGTCAATGCATCTGCGACTCTTTCAACTCTAGTTGCTTGAACTGACACGGAGAAGGAATGTACTAGATGACTGCAAAACTCGACAGCTATACCAACTGCCTGTAATACAAATTAGTAATGGATAATACATTTTTCAACAATTGTTATATAATTTGAATGCTTTTTCTTATTTTTGTAGTATATTAATATTAACATATTAATATACTACAAA